CGGGGAGGCCGGCGCGGCGGCGGGGCCGCCGCCCGCCTGCGCCGGGGCCGCCGCCGTCAACGTGTGGGTGCTTGGCGCGGACGCCGCAGCGGCTGCGACCGAGGAGGCCACTGTGCCACCCGTGGAGCAGGTAAGGCGCCCAACTCTGTGCTACGTTGTTGTTAGGAGTAACTCTTTGTATAGAGACTCTAAGTAGGGACCGTTGACAGGTCGGGAAACAAATTAATATTACGTAGAGCGATGACATTGCATGTGATAGTGATAAGAACATTTAAAACCGAACTAACTAAACGAAAGCAATGCCGTCAGGGATGGAGGAGGCCACTCTGCCACCCATGGAGCAGGTAAGGCGGCCAACTCTGTGCTACGTTGTTAGGAGTAACTTTGCATAGAGAAGTTACTCTAAGTAGGGACCATTGACAGGTCGGAAAAGAAATTCATATCGTGTATAGCGATGCCATTGCAAGTGATAGTGATGAAAACCATTTACAAACGAACTAACTAAACGAAAGCAATGACGGCAGGGATCGAGGAAGCCACTCTGCCACCGCTGGAGCAGATAAAGAGGCCAAGTCTGTGTTACGTTGTTGTTAGAAGTAACTGTATAGAAAGGTTACTCTAAGAAGGGATCAGTGACAGGTCATGTAGAGCAGTTAATGTCATGTAGAGCAATGGATTTGCAAGTGAAGGTGTTGAAAACCATTTTCTAATGAGCTAACGCATTGACGGCAGGGACCATGAAAGGTATTTTGCCATCTCTGGAGGAGGTAAGGAGACCAACTGTGTACTACGCTGTTGTACCGATCAACTCCCTTTATAAAAAGCGTATAGAGGAGTTACGCTACGAAGGGACCAGTTTGACGTATCAGGAAGTAAATGATTGTCATGTAGAGCGATAACTTTGCAAGCGATGTTGATGAAAACCATATACTAATGAGCTAACTGTAAAAGAACGCATTGACGGCTCAGACCGAGGAGGCCACTCAGCCACCGCTGAAGCAAGTAAGGAGGGCAACTCTGTGCTACGTTGTTGTGCGGACCAAATCCGGGTGTTTAGAAGTTACTCTAAGAAGGGACCACACTGACAATTCATTAGTTTAAGAAACTAATGAACAGTGATGGAAAAAGTACGTAAAAAAACTAATTGGGCTCGATTACAGTTACTTGTCAAATATTATACTCAATTACAATTATTAATTACATTTTCTGCATGCAATTAATAAAATTACAAGTACAGGTAGAGTTGTGTTGTTCATGAACGAACTAATCTTCGGCGTGCTAAGCTGGCACCACGGCGTGGATGGTGCCGACGGTGAAAGATATTTCTTACACTGTGATGGTGCTATGAAAATTCTCCTACATCGTAGATTAGGGCCTCTTCAGTTAGTTCGTAAACCACCCATTTAGTTCGCGACGAGCTAGGTAGTTCGCGAGCGAAGAGAAGTAAATAGTCATATTTAAAAAATATTTATGATTACAGGCGATATAAAGATTTCCACAAAGTAACGATTACAATTTTATATCAAGGAGTAAATTACGAGCAAAAAGTACATTCTGCTAAAAGAAACGATTAAATGCTAAAATTACTAACAAAGTAATCGTTACAAGTAATTGAATTGCTTTCCCTCAGTTACTCCACACCACTGCAAATTAACGTCATGTAGGGCGATGCCATTGCAATGGATAGTGTCGAAGCCATTTATAAATGAAATAACTGTACACGAACGCACTGAAAAAATGAGTGCATGGACATAATCTGCAATTTTGTTGCCAGCAGTGGCCAAACAGCTGTCAAAGCGTTTCCTTCTCACGGTAATCTCTCTATACACTGACAGTATTTGTCACCGTCACGGGGGTTGGGACTTCGGTCCCACATTCAAAAGTCCCAGAAAGGAATTGGTAGCCTTTTATTGTTAAAAATATGAGTAGATTTCCCGTAATTGACATGAATAATAGATAATTTTTAAATTGTTGAAATTTTTTTTCTTCAAAACAGCTCGAATTTCCTTCTTTAAATCTTATTCTCGTATGTACTAAAAGGACCGACTCAGCGCTTTGACTCGAAGGGTAGCGGAACGAATCCCGCCTTGGGCATGCTTGTTTGTCCCTTGTCTCTCATGTATGTGTTGTCGCAGAGTGTCTCGCGTTCTGATGACTGCAGTCACAGGGGACCTGCGTGTTGGTGTCTAGTGTCTGGTCAAATACACGTCCCATCGGAACATAAAGGGTAAACAGACTGTCAGCTGGATAAAAGCCCTATGAAAAAAAGCATCAAAGGACGGCAAAAAAGTAGGTGCTAAGCAAATCCCGGCAAACTCTTTGTATTTTCGAAAATTTCAAAATTATTTCCAAAGTGACGTGTCTCCTTTCACGTTTGTTTCCCAAGTTTACGTGAAATCTTACGACACTTTTCCATCATACTGCGAAATATTGTGTCCAATATTCGGTTTCTTAAAAGGTATCCGAGAATCGTTGAAATCTAGGTTTTGTACTATAAGGCAAAAAATGCTTACTTCCCTTGCTAAAATCATTATTTTTATACAGAAACGTCACTTTGAAAAAACGTTTTTCGATAAGAAACGCCCGCTCAAACATTCATTCTCTCGGTGTTACTCACTGTTAGCTAGAAAGTACTGCAGCGAATGATCGGGGCGGGGCTCTGTGTCCTCGGGTGAATAGAGATATTACTGTAAGAAAGAACTGCTTTGACAGCTACTGCTGGCAACATAACTGCACGTTATATCCATGCACTGAATTAGTTAACGCGTTCATTTGCCGTTGGCTCGCTTGTAAATGCATTCGACACAACCTCTTACAATGCCTACGTTCAGCATGACTTTCTCTTGTTTTTCGTCCTGTCACACGGGCCCATCTTCATGTAAACTTCTCTATAACAGCCGCGTTAGCCCCAGCTGAAGTCCAAATTCATTGAGATAGAATCAGATATTCATGTGCATTGAGTAGATATCCTTGCGAGATATGCGAGTGGCGTTCAAAGGTTGTCAAATGTTGCGTTCGAAATTGGTTTTTCCTGTGTTAAAAGGTATCTGAAAATTGTTGAATCCTAACTTGAACCATATAGATGAGTGTGCAGACTATACCTCACTAAAAGTTTGTTTTTCATAGAGAAACGTCATTTTGAAAACAAGTTCTTCAGTTAGAAACTTTTGCACGGACGCAACTATCTCGGTGTCACACATCCTTAGCTAAAAAATATTTCAGCGAGGGGGCGGGGTGAGGACTCTGTGCCCTGGAGGAAACAGCTGCGTGGCTCTCAGTTCAAATCATTAGTCTTTGAGGCAGTGTACGTTACTCATGTGTATTAAGCACGCAGTTCTCGCGGTGAGCAAAAGCTGTCAAATATTGTGTTCATATTGTGTATTGGTGTTTCTCGGGTGTTAAACGTATCGAAAAACAATTGAACCTCAACAATAAGGATAAATAAGCATATTTGATTCGGCTAAAATTTGTTTTTACAGAGATAAGTCACTTTAGATACATGTTCTTCAATTAAAAACTCCCAACTGGACACTCAAATTCTCGGTTGCACACATCGCCAGCCAAAAAAAATATTGCAGCGAGGAAACCGGGTAGGGGTTATGTGCCCCCGGGTATAAAATCAGTGAAGCCCCCATTTGAAGTCCGAATTCGTCGAGGCTGTGCTCGATTTTCTTGAGCATTGAGAAGGGTGTTTTCGTGATGCATGTGAGTGGCGTTTAAAGGCCGGAGAACCAATCTGTATAGCTGTTAGGTAAAGTTTAAGAGTCAAAACTTACCATTAGGGTTAAGGTGGTTCCACACATTTAGGAAATGGCGAGTAGCGAGGTACTGCTCGCCCAATTCCGAGCAACTGATGTGCACGGCGAATGTTCGCTTTATTTGATGTTCGTTACGACGCTTCACACTTGCGGCATTCGGCGAATCCCGAGCAACTGCTCGCCGAATCTCGAATTGTGTGGACGGGTTACTTGCGATTCGCCGAGCGCCGAACATTCGGCATTCGCCCTTCCCATCGCGTGTCGGTCTTTAGGATACATCAAAGGGAGCGAACATTCACCGAGCACATAATCTGTTTCGGACTGGGCAAGTCAGTTCACTGCTCGGCGAATGCCGAATGTGTGGAGCCTTCTTTAAAGCCCTGTACACTGCCGGAATGGCGAGGACCGAACGTTAGTCGCTCGACAAATAGCAACCAACTGATTCAGTACTCGGGATTAGGTGAATGGTCGGTCGCTCGCTACTCGCAGAATACCGAATGTGTGGAGCCGCCTTTAGAGTTGTGTTTACATTGTATTCTGGAGTATTCGAAGAACAGTCGAAATGCTTCCTTGTTCGTCTGTGAAGGGTGATGATATGAACAGAGGGCGAAATAGAACCTGGGGGTTTTCAGACCTTCAAGGGTCTGAAAACCGTCGTGCGCAGAGGTAAACTGTCAGAGGTTTGCGATGTCCCTGTTAGCAGCTGAAAGCTCCGTTGTGTAACGGTCAGATCGTTCGTGTCCCATTGGTATGACCGGAGTTCAAAATGTATGGTGGGTAAAGCTGCAGGTATTCTAGGCGTTCTCCTGTGCTCCCTGCCTCTCATTTCTCACTTCATTCATCATTTAAATCGTATCGTCATTACTCCATTCATTATTCAACCTTTTCATAAAAATATTTCTTAATAAAAACGACCATATTGCCGTTTGAAGGTAACGAGCCGTAAGTTTTTCTTATTAACATCGAAATGTAGCATTTGGATGTCAATAACTGACTTTTTGGATGCAATCGAGATTATTGGCTTTTGTGAGGAATGGTGAGTAGTTCTCATCATATTTATTAAAGAAATATATAGGATAAGAAATTTCGGTAAAAAAATGTATACATAGTACAGAACGTCTTGTTGCTCTGATTGTTTGTTTTATAACATTGTTTTATTTACTACATGCTTCTTTCGTCGCTTAAAAAGCGATAATTTCTCATTTTCGTACGTGTATTGCACTTACGAGCAGCGTAGTTCTTTCAAACGGGTGGCAAACGCGATTTTTGTGGATCTGTTATTCACCAGGTTCCGGAGATAGAGTTCACATTGGTGCCAAAGTTTTCATTTGTTGTTCAATCAATATTTGAGATAATTACATCATTTTCTTCC